AGATGGACTTTTAAAAAAGGTTTCATACCTTTTCTGCTACTTGAGTTAAAACAAACAGAAAGTACTTTTATAACAATGAGAGTAATAGAAATAAAAAAAATTAGTCCTAGAATTTAAAAATTTTTAACATGTCCTTATCAGTATGACTGTAAATTTTACTCAGATTTAGTCGTAGGAACGAATGTGTCTTAATCGGCCAAAGCGTCGATAGTGTCTTTTTCATGTACACGTAGGGTCACTGCCTATGCTTCTTCACTCACTCATCCTTGCCTTCTTTCTTAACTTATGCTGTATCAATAATTTTCAATAGAAGGCTAGTGCAGCAATAAAAATCCCTGCTCCGTGCTGACCGCAGCAAAGACAAGACGGCGCACAGGTTATGCACCCCTCCCCATGTGTCAGCTGTGACCCACTCCACATAACGGGTTGAATGCCACTTAGTGACACACATTAGGACAAGGCTGAACTTGATTCTCTCCCTTTGTTTTTCAGGGAAGTTCTTCACAAACCCATGTACCTTGGTAGTAGTAGCAAATAACTTACAACACCTCTTTTTTTTTTTTTTTTTTTTAAAGATTTTATTTATTTATTTTTTGACAGAGACACAGTGAGAGCAGGAACACAAGCAGGGGGAGTGGGAGAGGGAGAAGCAGGCTTCCCGCCGAGCAGGGAGCCCAATGCGGGGCTTGATCCCAGGACCCTGGGACCATGACCTGAGCCGAAGGCAGACGCTTAACGACTGAGCCACCCAGGCGCCCCTTACAACACCTCTTAACAGCTGACCCAGGCACAGCAGAGTGTGCCACTAACCCCAGGCCTTTGCAAACAACAGCTCCAGGCCAAGAAAAGGGAGACATGGATTCCAGCTAAAGGAACAAAATGTGCAAAGATACTGAGTTGTGTAAAGCACGTGGTGTATTCCGGGAAAGCAAAGCTTGTATGGTGGAAACTTCGAATGCACAGGATGGCAGGGGTTAGGAAATGGGGAGCTCCAACTGAGCTCCAGAGGGCCTTGAAGGGCCAGAGGCTCACTGGCTGTGTGACCTGGGGCAAATGGGATGAGCCTCAGTTTTCCTAGCCTTAAAATGCAGACAACATTATCTTCTGCACAAGATTGTGAGTATTAAATGAGAGATGTGTCCGAAGGGCCCGGTGCAGGGCTGCCACAGGGTTGTTGGCAGCAGCTCATCTCGCTGTTTTTTACCCTCCCTGCTCCCACACAGATAAAAGAAAATGGACTTTATCATGTAGTAGAAAGTCTCCAGGATTCTTTTTTTCTTTTCCCCGTTATAATAGCCATCTTCATTTGTAGAAATCCAGATATAAAATGTATTCTTTCAGCCTTTCCAAGTTCTCCTTTTTACAAAAACAAAAAGGCACATAAAAACCCTCCCTGCGGTCATTCCCATAGACGGTGTTTGTCAGGCAGCCCTCCCCCTCCCCCCGCAAGGAGAAACGCCCCATACGTGATCAGAACAGTTACCTTTATTGCAGAGAGTGCTCTGGCAGCAGTATGCCAGGATCGTTTGGAGAAAGGCAAGATTGGAGGGGCCAATATATTGAATCATTTAATGTCAGTAAATTTTGCTTAGTAGATTACTTCTTAGGTCCTTAAATAAGATTTTAAATATTTTTAATGCTGAATCAACTTTCGTGGAGCCTAAATCATTTTCATTGCTTCCCAGGGACGACAGCTATGTAATCTTGATCACGCATTTTTCCTTTTGTCATCCTGCCTGATAGCTGGTTTCTTGTGTCTGTTGTCGCCACAACACTGCTGCATTCCTGTGCATTCTTCCTTGAAATACCACTTCAGGTGTAATCTATGCTCACTGAAGGTTTCAAAGAGGGGCTCCTGTTGCACCATGATCCTGGGACTTCTGTTTACTTTTGCATCATGGGATTCACTTGGTCCTGAAAGTGTTCTGTAGGCTAAACAAGAAAGTATTTCCCCTGTAATACATCCTCTCACTAGTTTTTCAAAGCGTCATGGTATAGGGAACTACATTCAAATACTGGCTGTTTGATTCACAACCTGTGTGACTTCGGGCAGATCACTATCCTATCTAAGCCTCAGTTTCCCAGTCTATAAAATGGAGAGAATAGTACTTGCCCAAGGACACAAAGGTTATTAAGAGGATTAAATTATATATATTATATATATTTATAAATTATATATAATATAAATTATATATATGTATATAGATATTACATGTAAATATATATATAATGTAATCCTCTCAATAACATATATATAGTGTTTGGCTCACAGAAAATACCTATATTTTGGGGCGCCTGAGTGACTCAGTTGGTTAAGCGACTGCCTTCGGCTCAGGTCGTGATCCTGGAGTCCCGGGATCGAGTCCCACATCGGGCTCCCTGCTGGGCGGGGAGTCTGCTTCTCCCTCTGACCCTCATGATCTCTCTATCTCATTCTCTCTCTCAAATAAATAAATAAAATCTTTAAAAAAAAAAAAAAGAAAATATCTATATTTTAATTTATTTTTGGATTCCCTTAAAGTAGAATTTCCCCACCCAAGACATTTTCTATATATTTTTTTTCTTTTAGGCAGCAGACTGTCCCGGGAAGCTGTTCATCTTCCATTCCTCCTTGCCTACTGCAGAAGCACCAGGGAAGCTCAAAAACAGAGATGACAAAAAGCTGATTAATACAGACAAAGAGAAGGTATTTGTAAACAATGGCCCTTTGAAGTGTCCCTGTGTCAGTTTTTAAAGGGCAGTAAAGAAAGAGTGAAGGTGTCCTTGTGTAAGAAAGGGAGAGAAGCTAAATGTAATGCATAAATCCAGGACATTGTATATTATAGGAATATTTTGAATTGCAAATAATTTAAGAAATGTTATATTCCTAGAAAAGCTGATTTCTGAAATAGTCCTAAATTAAAATAAGGCCTCAAACTTTTTTCATTGTATAATCTGTGTAAGAGACTAGGTGATAAGACTGTTACAGAAATGGGGGGGGGCGCCTGGGTGGCTCAGTCGTTAAGCCTC